CTTATTCTCCCTTATGTGCTCTTAGAAGGTGAAGAAACTTCTATTTATTTAACTCGAACATTTAATGTCATTATTCAGTTGAAGAGATACCTGCTGTGTTTTGAAATTGTAATGGGTCTTATTATTACCATATGTCTCATTTATATTAAATAAATACTTTTAAAATCCTGCAGAAGGAATCATCAAGAAAACAAGCACTTAATTCATTTATTGGTTCAACCAGTATTTGTCAACTGTTTCCATGTGCCAGGCAGGGACCTTAGGTACTTGAGTTTCAGAAACCAATACAATAAATACAGTTTTTTACCTCGAACAATTCTACATTATATAGAAAATAAACAAATATCTCAGAAAGCTTTGGCTGGAGGGAACAAATAGCTAACTGTAAGTGGGCAAAACAGTCAGTAAACTTATTAGCTCTCCTTAGAACACTGTTAAGGATAAGGCTGAGCTTCAGGTTTGCTGGTCCAGTGGTCCAGGTCTTCCCCACAGGGAACCAGCCCCTTCCATCTCTTTGTCACCTTTCACAATGTCAGCCTCATCCGAAAGCTGGTTTCCTCTTGGTTGTGGGATGGTAGGCTGTGACATTTTGGGCTTCATGCAACCCCATGGGATGCATGGGGATGTCTCGTGGTTCTTTTAAGATCAAGAAAGGGCTTTCCCAGAAGTCTCCAGCAAACCTCTCTTGGTGTCTCATTGACTAGAACTGGATCATATACCTATTCCTGACAAAATCATTGGCAAAAAGAATGGCATTAACCTGAAGTCAATCAGGCCTCTCGGAAAAGAAGTGAGGATGAGCTTCTCCTGAAGCATATCTGTAAGCAGTAGAGGCAGATATCCAGAAAAGAAAATGTCCTTCTACTGAAAGAAAAAGAAAGCAGGAATAGCTTCTGCAGAGAAAGCAATATCCACTACAATAATAAAACAAACTATCATTGAATGTGAGTACAGTATATGTCTCTGTGAGTGAAGAATGACATCTTTGCCATTTTCTTTTTAATGTCTTCTAGGATCAGAGTGGCACCGAACCCGTTAGTAGTGAGGAAGACGGCAGCCTCAAAGTTGGTTCTAAACAATTGTTTGACAGTGAGACCTCCGAACTGGTGAGAATCCTGGTGGTTTCCATCCAGTGTTCTTTTTAGGGGTGTATTATTTACATTTTGTACCACTTTGGAAAGGATCAACTGTTGTGTTTTCTCCTCTAAGAATCTCAGTCTCTGAGGCAGGAGCCATTCCAGATACTGTATGACTCATTCACTCCAAAGAATAGCACATTCTCCCACTTTCTTCACACTTGAGTTGTGCTGTCTGGGACTAAAGAAGCAATCTCTCTTATAAATCTTTTTAAATAATGGGTGTCTTTAAGCCTAGGACAAAGCTGAATTAATCCTGAAAGCATAGAAAGAGATGTTAAATGTATTACATTGATTCATAGGAAAATATAATTAATCTCACCCAGGGGCTAAGGATATTAGGAAAGAGGCAGCTTTAGAGAACTCTTCCTCTTCGAGTATCCTATTGTTTTATATTTTCTTCTTTAAAATTTTTTTTAAAGATTTTATTTATTTATTCTTAGACAGAGGGGAAGGGAAAGAGAGAAAAAGAGAAACATCAATGTGTGAGAGACTTACACAGCCCCCAACTGTGAACCTAGCCCCCAACTGTGAACCTGGCCCGCAACCCAGGCACCTGCCCTGTCCTTTTGGTTCACAGGCCAGCACTCAATCCACTGAGCCACACCAGCCAGGGCAATATCTTCTTTAGTGTTGATGGAACTTCTATGTACCAGACATTTCCTGATTCTTTTATGATAGGTAAAGATAACTTTCTTTTACACGCAAGGAAACTGAGGGTTAGAGATGTTAACTAACATGCCAGAGGCTACTCACTGGGACGTCGTAGGTCTGAAGATTGGTCCCATTTGGTCTGACTCCCCTGCCTTTGCTCAGAACCTACCTTTGTATTTAGCAACCTAGCACTTTCAGGGTTAGACCTCAAGTTCCAAAAAGAAACATGGGCCTTTTTTCTCTGTGTTTCAAAATAACTTACAAATCTCAAACAATTACTCACTTAGAAGGATCATCCTGATTTTATGACAGCACAGAGTTCTTTATTTTACACCAAGGAGTTTGAGACACTATCTGTTTATCTTCTTTCAACTTTCAGAAAATATATATTGGGACTGGTGTAGATGCCCTGTTCTAAAAAGTAAATTGGGTCTGTCCAGATGAAGGAAAAGGACATTTCAGCAAGAGTGGAAATTACGGTGGGCTCTTCTTGGACAAGCCCTACAGGGGACCTGAGGACTCTAGCATCGAGAACACTGGGGCTGACAGCTTGTGACCATTGTTCTTGAACAAGATGTTCTGAGGATATACTTGTTCCCTTTCTGGAAGATAAACTGTATATTTGAACTGAAGGGGAATGATTGACATTGACAAATTTCAAACTCAGACCTCCTTCACTTACAAATACTATTAACTTGTTAGCTCCGAGGTTATCATAGGCCCATAGGTAGGTTAAAGAAAAGTCTTTTAAAGCAACAGCATTGTTTTCATTGGTTTTTTTTTTGGTAAGTAGTGGCCCCTAATTTTATCCACAGAGGAAATGGTAAAAAGGGCGAGAACACTCTCTCACTTGCTGAAAGAGTCTGGCGGTCCCAAAGAGGCTCCCTTGTCGGCTGCAGGCAAGAGCCATCCTTCGTCCTTCATTCACACCCTGTTCCCAAGAAAGCCAGTGACAGGCCCTGAGTCTCACCACAGTGGAAGAGCCCCACACTCAGGCGGAGGGCCTGAAGGGCTGAGGATAATTTTTACCTATTGTTCACTGTATTTCCCCAAGAACAAGAGCCTTCCCCAAACCCACGGACTTGTGTCTGTTTTTCTACCCTCCCTGTCCCTCCCACCTCCCTCTCTTTGTGGGACTCTGTGGTTTCTTTCTCACTGTTTCCAGTAGAATCTGTGCTTGGTCTATTCAGTTGAGGAAAGGTAGCCTGAGTTTGAGCAACTTTTATAGCATAAACATAGTTGGCCTAGAATAAAGTATTGATTAAAAGTATGGCATTGAAAAAAAAAAGGATGGCATTGGGCAAATTAACTTCACCAAGCCTCAGTGTCCTCATCTGAAAAATAACCATAATCTGAATATTATAAAGAAACAACGGTAATCAGCATGTTATGAAAAAACAATGTACTAAAGGCAAATAGTGTTCAGTAAGTTCATTCATTCATTCAATAAATATTTGCCTGATGTCACTATGCTACAGGCACTGGAGATACAACAGTGAACAAAATGTACAAAAAGGCCTGCCTTTATGGGGACTCCTTCCAGGGTAGGCAGGGTGAAGGAAGATAGATAGTACATAAATTATCAAAATACCAGATTGAATGATATGAAAGTGCTGTGTTTGTAGGCTAACATTTTCATGAGAGCTGCCTTGTTAGTAGTTTATCATCACTAGGCATCGTACGATTGCTTCTGTTGTGAGATTTGTGCGAGCTCCCCTGCACGGCGCCCATCCTAGGAATGCTGCTGGATGCACCATGTCAGAGATCAGCATGTGACTCTTTCTACATGAGTTTATATCGAGATACCGGGCAACAGTAAGCTCTAACCCTCTAATGTTGCTGGCTTGCTCCCTGTGGGAGCACATGTCTCAGTAAGCACTGCGCTGGCTTCTGGAGGGGTGACCAGGAGAAGGACAGGGGCCTCGCTTAAGCAGCTTACCATCTAGCATCAGTGAGAATGACGGAATTTGTGTCTGGAAAATCAAACCAGGCAAAAGTGTATTAGAGAAAGAGAGAGAAACACACACAATGTTACAGAAGTTTAAAAATGGAAGGAAAACCATCTCATTCAGGGATTAAGGAGGGTTTCTTAGCATCATGGCCTTTAAGCTAAACCTGTAAAGATGAGAAGGCAATTGACTGACGAAGTTGCCACAAATAGGAGATTTACCAGGTGAATCGAACAGTGTGTGTTAGGGAAGTAGCGAGTAAGGATTGGGCTTTTGTAAGGTAACAGCGGGCAATGGAATTTGAACAGTAGAATCACAGAGCTGAAGGGACTGTATGCTGTGGATTACAGATTTATTCCATTTATCTTGAATGCTCCATGTTCAGTAAACGTCTCTATAACTAGATGGATACATGGACACACAAGGTGCTATGTAAAAGAAACTATATTTCTGCCCTGACTAGTATAGCTCAGTGGATTGAGTACGGGCTTGTGAACCAAAAGGTTGCTGGTTTGATTCCCAGTCAGGGCACGTGCCTGGGTTGCAGGCCAGGTGCCCAGTGGGGCGTGCGCAAAAGGCAACCACTCATTAATGTTTCTCTCTTTCTCTTTCTCTCTCCCTCCCCCTCTGTCTAAGAATAAGTAAATAAAATCTTTAAAACAAAAAGAAACTGTATTCCAAAGAACTATTAAATGAATTCTCTAAGATGACCCGTTCCCGAGCCAAGACTAAGCGTGGGACCACACACGCTGCAGTGCTATTGCACTGTTCAGTTGTGGCTGGCGTCGGTTCACATCTCAGTCGTCCCCAGGTTCGCAGCCAAGGAACGATACCTTTGTTCATTTATAAAAATACAACTGTATATTAGATTGTTCTAAGCTGTCTTTAAAGAACAAATCACGGGTTTTTAGGCAACTGATCAGATGATGGTTTGTGAAGCTTGCATTCCAGTGAGAGAGACTGGGGGCCGGGAAGTATCTGGGATCTATTCAGAAGTCTAGGTGAGAACCTGTTAAGACTATGTTTTAAGACTTTTGAAAGGAACTTTTAAAAATTCTGTTTGCACAGAACCTTGGGATTTGCAAAACAAAATCTTATTATCTCATTAGCTTAATTTTTGTACTATCTAAATTTTTTCTGAAATGGTATTTTATTTGTTCAGTTTTATCCCCCTTATTCAGTTTTATCCCCCACATAAAACTATAAAAAGTAGTGCGGGAATTATTTATCCCAGGCTTATAGATGACACCTTAATTTTTTTTTAAATATGGAGCCCTTCATGGTTGGCATTTCATCCTTGTGCAGGGGCCATGCTGGCCTTCTCTGAATCATCCCAGTTTTACTATGTGTGCTGCCAGTGCAAGCACAGAGACCTTAACCTCTCACTAAAGATCACCAAACTGGAAATTAGGAGAACTAGGACCCATCCTGAAGGGTCCTTGACACAGAAGATGATGAACTCCTAAAATAATTATTTTAATGTTTTGGATGTAAAGCTATGTTTTTATCATTTTTGGAATATCTGTGTTCATGTAATATACTCTTTTGATGAAATGTAACTGAATTATTAAGAGCGAGGCCCTGACTGGTGTGCCTCAGTGGATTGAGCACCGGCCTGCCAACAAAGGGGTTGCCAATTTTGATTCCCAGTCAGGGCACAGGCCTGGGTTGTGGGCCAGGTCCCCGGTTGGGGGCATGTGAGAGTCAGCCAGTCGATGTATCTCTTACACATCGATGTTTCTCTTCTTTTCTTTCTTCCACCCTTCCCATCTCTCTAAAAATAAATAAATGAAGTCTTTTTTTTTTTAAAGGCAAAATTTTTTTTTAAAAGAAATGAAAACATTGGAGCCAGATGACTTGGATTCAAATCCTGGCTCTGCCATTTATTAGCAATATATCCCGAGGCAGATAACTTAATGTCTCCGTGCTAAGCTCACTATTTGCATCTATAAAATGGGGGAAAGAAACAAAGGGTTACTGTGAGAAAAAATGAATGCCTCTTAAGTACCAGCTAGAACCCTGCCAGAGTATATTTGAATTACTGTAAAAGTGTAAATTGTTATTGTTATTGATGATGATGTTATTCTGATTAAAGCATTAAGGCTTAGTCATATAAATAACAGCTGTTCTAAGTGACTCATTGAAGTGTACTTGGATGATTAAAGCAAATTTTTCAACCCCCAAAATGCAGTTGCTTCTAATAATAGACAACATTTAGTGAATACCTATGGCCAGGCATTATTCTAAGCTCATTTACATTACAGTCCTATGAGGTTAGTGCTAATATTATTCCCGTATAAGATGTGAGGAAACTGAGGCATTGAAACATTAAACAAATTGCTTCGGTCGCCAAGTGAAGCCTGGATCCAGGTTCCATACACTCTGGGACTGGAGGCTGCACTTTACACCATTGTGCGCTTCTGCCTCTCGGAGAGATACAAAGAAAAAAACCAAAGTCAAAGGACAGCAAGAAATGACACTGGAACCTGAACTTGGCAACTTTCATTCCCTTTTGTCTAAATCTTGAACTCCAACATAGACAATTGTGACATAGAAACAGATAGTTAAAGATACTGAAACTTACCTTTTTACAATACTTCAGTGAGTATTTTTTTTTGAGAAACTAACCTGTTTCAGACCGTTTCAAACTGGTTATCTTATTTAACCCAGGGATGCCCGTATTATAAGTCCTACCTTTACTAATAAGATGCTGAGGCTAAGAGATAGTTACAGCTGGTCAGCTAAAGCTGGTTGGTGCTGTGGCTGGGACCCAAACCCAGTCCTCTTTGCCTCTGGAGCCCATCTTCTCTTCACCTAGGTAGTTCACATAGACAGCTTTTCTTGAAATATCTGAACTATCACTGTCATCTATCTGTTCAAATAGCAAATACTCATTGAGGGTCTCTTGTATGTCAGACAATGCTGTGTGCAGAGGATTCAGTGATGAGCAAAACTATCAGAGCTTCTTAAAGGGCTTCAGATGTTTAAGAACAAGTGTTCACATCCACTTGCTGCCTTTAGAACCTCAATAGTTAGGTTGGAAGAAAGGAGTAAGAGATGGACAGAAAGAGGTAGTGATGTTTTTATTTCTTTTTAAAAAGATTTTATTTATTTTTAGAAATAGGGGAAAGGAGGGAGAAAGAGAAGGAGGAAAACATCAGTGTGAGAGAGAAAAATCCACTGGTTGCCTCTTGTACATGCCTCCCACCCGTCTGCAACCCAGGCATGTGCCCTGACCAGGAGGAATCAAACCAGCAACCTTTTGCTTTGTGGGTGGACACCCAGCCAACTGAGCCACACCAGTCAGGACAGTGCTGGCTTATGTTTTGTTTTGTTTTTTAAATAAGTAACTGACCTCTGTTCTTGCTACCCACCTAGATCTCTAACCCTGTCCAATTTCATAGTTTTCTGCTTGGATGTAAAGCCAGTCTGTGTTTCCTTTGTTCTTATTCATCTCTTTCTCTATGCTGTTACCGATACTAAGAGTCAGTAAGGAATGACAACTCAACTAAAAACTGAGTAAAGATCTCAGTAGGCATTCTCTAAGGACACGAATGGCCAGTAAGCACATAAAGATACCTAATCTCATTAACCATTAGAGAAATGCACATCAAAACCATAATAAGATCCTACTTCATACCTACTAGGATGGCTCTAAAAAAAAAAAGACAAATAATAACAGGTGCTGACAAGGACGCGGAGAAATTTGAGCTCACACATCTTGCTGGCAGGAATGTAAAGTGGTACGGCCAGTTTGGAAAACGGTGTGCAGTATTATTTAGTGGCTAAGCATTATGTACCCGTCACTGTAGTAGACACTTGAAAATACTACCTCATTTATTCTGACAAAAAACAGAGCAGCAGCAGTAGTGGAAGTAGCAATATCATCCATCATTTATTGAGCTAACTTATTTGTTAGGAACTGAACAGAGTATATTATCCTCCTCCTCCTCATAATAAGGCATTATCATTATCTCTACTTTGCAGACACAGGACCTGAGTATTGCAGAAGTTAATTCGCTTGCCCAAAGGCTTAGGGGCAGTAAGTGTCACAGTAAGGATTTGAAGCCTTATGTGTTTGACTCACATGCCTGATCATGGCACCCTGTCTCTGCTAGAGATAATTGATATCAAACCATAGGAAAACTGAACTTTAAAGAAGTCTAATTTGTCATACAGCACATAACCTGTACATAGAAGAACCAAGATGTGAACCACTGTCAGACTCTAACATGCAGGCTTTCTCCTTTATTCAGATCATACTAACTAGTTACTCATTTGGCCCCTGCAGATCTATAAGTTTTTATTGCTCTGTGGGAAATGTGAAAAATAATAACCACATCGTGAATTTAATTTAAAGGATTGCTCTTTAAGACTGTGCCCTACCCAAATTTTTAGTGTTGAAAGGGCTCTTCCCATATGACATTATGGTAATAATATATGGTAGTAGATGGAGGAGAGGATTTCAAAGGGTTGGACCCTCTGAAATCACTGATATTTGACCATGTCTTTGACTTACAAAATGGCAAATGCATATGTTTCAATCCAATATTTCTTTGGTCCCAATTACCTAACAAAAACAGGTAACTCTGTGTCCTCAAAGTTATTTTAAAAATTTTCTGGTCTATGAAATTGCTAGGTCTAGAAAAATCTACTTGCTTCATGTGGTGTCCCCGGACATGAGAATACTTTGCAAATGCTACGATGAAAACAGACAAAAAGAAAGATTAGTGGAAGCTGACTGTTATTGTAAACCTTGATAAGTGGAAGCTTGATATTGTCACCAATTTAAAAAAGAACATGAGAAAAAAAAACAGATTTGTGGGAGAAGATAATGAGCTCAGTGCAGAATTTTAACTTTTAAAGGAATAACATGTCATGTGATTTCTGATACAGGTTCTCCTCTATTGATTTGCTTACAAATTCTTCCTAGGTATTTATAAAGTGCTGGCATCCAAGTTTGGAAAAATAGTCTAAAATGCTGCATTTCTAATGATAATAGGCTTTTTGTTAGATCTTCCTTGTTTATACCTGGAATTCTCAGGTATAAACAAGGATCTGAGCTGTGTTCTCAAAATCCATTGTTACCCCCAATTTGCACTGCATCAAGAACTGGCAGAATTTCTGGAAGCAGGTGTCACTGTGTGACTCTTATTCTCTGTTTCAAATCCAGCATGAAAACTGCATTTATAACAAGAGTTCAGGAAATTCCCGTAAGGAGCAGGAGAGAATGTGTCTGAGTCAGCACTGGCCTCCGGTTTGCATCCGTATGCAAATTGCCAGTGGCAGAGTTCAAGTGCATTCAAATAATATGGTATTTTTCACAGCTCACTGTACTTTATACCTTGTATTTTTGAAAATCACTTGAGATTTGTCTACGTGATAAATTTCCCTTTCCTGGTCATAAAAAAAGACAGTAGATTTACAGTCAAATCTACTTCCTTCACGAGTCACCAGAGAAAAGCTTTTGGCTTTTTCCTCCATTCTCCTCCCCTCTGCATTGTAAATGAAGATAACAGAGAGAGAAAGCGGAGCAGGTGAAATAATCTCATGAATTCAGACACAGCAGAAATACAGATGCATATGTTTAACACAAATCCACACCTTGGACGTTCACTAACTTACTTTCACTCCCATCCACTTGAACCGGTCCACTCCAGAGACCTGTTATTTGACTTAAAATTCAACTCGCCAAGAGGAGCTATTGCTTATCAGATTTTTCTAAATTGAGAAAGTAACCTTACAATCATAATCAATTGCACCAAGGGCTCAGAGGAGGAAAATGGCAGCTCAGACCCCAGAACTCAGACTCGTTTACCTGTCAGTCTCCAGCGCCCTGTCCTGGGGACCCCAGAGTTTCTTGGGAATCCAGGGCTGCTCAGGCCCTGCTCCTCGAGTCTGTAAAGTTTTCGCTTTCCTGGGAAAGCCTTATTTGCTGACATAATTTTAAGACCCTATAATCTAAAAGCTATGGTGATTATTTTGTCCTTCAAAGGGAGCAGATATTGAGCGAGTTTGTATTGAAGGCCTGTTATGTCCCAGGTGTGGTGCAGGCCATGGGTCGAATCCCAGTGAACAGGATACACGGGTCTCACCTTGGGGGAGCTTTCAGAACTGCTGAGAGTAATGGCAGGTAACGCTTTCGCAGCACTTACTGCAAACAGTATCATTCTAATGTACTCATTCATATTTTAGATGACTGTTACTGACCCTACTTTGTAAATAAGGAAACTGAGGCACAGAGACATTCAAGTAATAAGGGTCATGCTGGGTTTAAATCCAACTTTAGATAAGTAATTCCTAGTACTGATGACAATTATGGAAGGGAATGTTAAGGTGCTGTGTAGACTTTTACTAACATACTTTC